AGGAAACAATCAGTCAAATCCTGTCAGAAACTGTGGAAAATTCCACAGAACACATGATCCAACTTCTTTAATAAATAAATAGAAGGAAAGAAGGAAGGAAGAAGAAGGAAGGGAGAGAAGAAGGAAGGAGAGAGAGAGACAGAGAAAACTGCTACAGATTAGAGTTGTAAAACACATACTGACCAAATACAATATATGACCTTATTACAATCCAGACTCCAATAGAATAAGTGTAAAAAGACATTTATGACACCATCAGGAAATCTAAAATTATATTAGGCATTAGATAATATTAAGAAAATATTGTTAATTTGGGAAATGCGATCATGGGATTGTAGTTATATTTTAAAGGCCATATATTAGAGTTCCATATGAATATGTTCATAGATAAAATAATATAATATCAGATTTTGCTTTTAAAATAGTCCATATATACACATTTTTATGAATAAGCTTATCAGTTTAAAAGTAAGTAAAAAAATGTAAAGCAACACTTGAATCACAGTAAGTTTCTAACAGGTTTTAAATAAATATAAATTACGTTCTTGTCTCAATTGGGGTTCTTTCAAAAGTATCAACCGAGGGAAGCAATTGAAAAAAAAAATGTATCTGAGAATGCTATCCCAGGGAACCGCCTTGAGGGTCAGAGAGAGAAATGGGGAAGAAGATAAAGCCAATAGAGGAATGCATATTGAGATGGCGACCACTGTTGGATGACAGGGAGAGAGTCATGCACCAAAACCCGAAAACCTCATGAAATGCATGTCAGAATCATCCACTGGGGGGAAAAGGAGAAAAGCAGTGATCAATGATCTCCCTTCTCCACTGGTCAAAGGCTAAGCCGCAGGACATTAACACTTCTGAACTTCCTACTTATCCAGGAGTGAATTCTGAGAGTCCCGGGACATCTGATGACCAGGCATAATAGAAGCCCTCCAGCAGGGAGTGAAAGGTACCCAGCACTGGCCTAAGGCAATGTGCTGTCAGGTTGCCCCTGGATGAGAGCTGGCCTCCACAGCTAAGAGCGGGATAAGAGAATCAAAAGAGACATGCGAGTTGTTCTAATACAGACTATTCTCTGTGCCGACCACTATCTATCTCCCTTTTCCTTCCATTAAATCCTATCAGTAATAGAATCCCCTTCAATCTGCACAAAGGCTGAATCCAACAAGGTCAATGAAAGAAAGTGCAATGAATGCCTAATGCCACACCTGGTTCCAAGGCCATAGTATTATTTAGTCCCCAGTACCAGTTTAGAATTCTTTCACCTAGACCTGTACCTTAATTGGTATATTTGCTTCCCTGTTGGGGTGACCCAGACCTTCATCCCCAAGGGGGCTGTGCCCTGATTTTCTTGTGCTTGTCAGGCTGTGATTGTGCTAATTTTCCATTCACAATTTTAACTGGTCGTGGTAGCACCAAGAGATACCCAGTGAGCATCCTCTAAGCACCTTGTAGGTCCCAGATATGTATCACCCTGCCTTCGTTTCGTACCAGGAACTCTATCTAGCTCCTCAATGTAAAAATCAATAATAATAACTACTACCACTACAAAATGTCTTTCTTGCCTATTGTTAGATTTCAGGACTACCAGAGTGCAAACATAACAATGAACGGGTTACCACCAATAAGATATTCAGAATGTAGTATTTGATGTGGTAACAGAACAATGATGAAGGTCACAAACAGTCTAATTAGTATAGCATGCAACAGCAGGTGTCAAGTTATACTTTTGTAACTTTGACCTCAAGCCATCAATCACCTTAAAATGCAAAAAGAGGGGATAGGGCTATAAGGGAACTAAATGGTAATGGAAAAAAATACAATAAAAATGTTTTTTAAAATACAAAAAGAAAAAAAACAAGTAAAATCAGGTGAACATGTCTGAAAAAAAGGCTATATTAAATTAAATTTTCTTCCCATAAATCATTAAAAAAACAAATTCTTATGTATTTTCTATTTATATGATTTATAGTTTTTCTCATTCAATAAGGATTTAAAGGAGATATATTAGATTAATAATTTTTAGCAAGTGTAGACAGAAGCTTAAGAAAACTTATTTAACAGAAGAGTGGAATCTTATTTAGCTCATTGGTTATGACTATTTTAGATGGATTTGCTCATTCGATAATAATAAAAATGCCTCCAATTATTTTGTGCATCTGACGTGATAGGGTCTTACATTGGCCTTAGTCCACACAATAAAACTGCAAGGTAGGAAGCTAGAGGTTTAGGAAATAACTTATCTAAGTCAAACAGTTCCTTTTCCAATTCAGACATGTTGCCTTAAAACAATCATCTGTGGTAGTAAAAAAAATCATTCAATTTAAAGTTGTAAATATTATGGGAAATCTCTTTCGATTTTGGTTCTTTGGATTGTCACTTTGTGATTCCAAATTAAGAACAGAGGTGTAATGAAGAACAGAGAGGTGTTTTACAAACCGTTGCTTTCAGACAGCTGGCTTTTATACTACTCCATCATTGTCTATTGCATCGTAGGCAAAAGCAGAAGTCCATATATTATTTTTGTGGGTTGTAAATCAAGGTGCCCTGGTCTACTGTAGCCATAAAGCTATCATTTGACTTGTCTGAATAGTCAAGTTTTTCCTCCAGAGATTTTGACATGTGAGCAAAGGGACACAACATGGAAAACAGATGAAGTATACCTATTCCGGGACGCAGCATTCTTACAACATAATCAAGCAGTTCAGGCAGCTTAGCCTTTGAAATATGTTATTTTTGTGGGCAGCTCTTTAGTCTTCCTGTAGATTTTGTAAGGATATCATGGTCTCTTTCCAATAAACTTTTTTTTCTTGCATTAAGCAGAGGCAGCTCCTGTTGCTAGCAATCAAAGAACCCTAAATTATGCATAATTCAACTGAGAGTGACCTTTTCTTTCTATAAATACCTACTGCATTGAGAGTCCACACCACACAATTCAGCATCAATGTTCTCCAATACCACCAGGAATGTTGCCTCCCTAGTTTGAGTATAAACTACTCGGGCATTTCCATTATTATTCTTTGGGGTTTTCTCTGCAGTACAGGGCTATGTTCTGCATTGATGGATAGGCTTTAAAAACATCCTAAGATGGATACAGTGGGTCAGGGGTTGGCTTATGGGTAAACCAGGGGTTAAAAGTGAAGATCAGGGAATGCCAAAGCCTTCTTCTTATATCCTCCCTCAACTCATTCATGCCTATTGTAAATACACCATTCTCCACTGGACAGCTATTCACATAACAATAAGTACATAAAAATCAATCGCACTGGCCATGTCAGCTTGTGTTGATGCAAACCTACTCTCTCCTCCATGGAGAAGAGCTGGGATTACTGGATCCCCATGGAATAATGAATGAGTCACGAACACCTTATTTTTGCACAAATATATAAAAAAGTTGCTGGAGTAGTATTCTCATCTTTCATCAGCATTGATTCTTGAAAATATTATGGAAATTGTCAGGAACAACATACAATCTTTTGTTAGACAACGTCAATGTATTCCTGCAGCTCCCCCTTTATTGTTTATTTTTCCTCAGTTTCCGTTATCTGCAGTCAACTGCAGTCCAAAAATATTAAATTGGGAAGTCTAGAAATAAACAATACGTAAGTTTTAAATTGTGTACCCTTCTGAATGGCATGATGAAACCTCTTGATGTGCTTTGGGGATGTGAACCGTCCCTCGGTGAGTCCAGCATCTCCGCACCGCAGACACGCCCTGCCTGTTAGTCACACGGCAGCCATCCTGCGTATCAGGTAGACTGGTGCAGTATCACAGTGCTTGTGTTCAAGTGACCTTTATTTTACTTAAGAGTGGCCCCAACATGCAAGAGTAGAGACGCTGGTGATTCAGATATGCCAATGAGAAGCTGCAAAGGGCTTCCTTCAATGAGAAGCGAAAAGGTAAATAAAAGTTCTCCAACTAGGTAAGGAGAGAAAAAAAAAAATCATACGCTGAGGTTGCTGGAATAAAAGTTAAGGACTAATCTTCTATCCATGAAATTGTGAAGAAGGAAAAGGAATTCATGCTAGTTTTGCTATTGTACCTCAAACTATGAAAGTTAGGCTACTGTGCGTGGTAAGTGCTTAGTTAACATGGAAAAAGCATTACATTTACAGATGAAAGACATGAACAGAAAATGTGATCCAATTGATGGCAACACGTTGTGGCAGGAAGCATTGAGCTTGTATGAGGACTTTAGCAAGGGATTCCCTGAAACGAGTGACCCCAAGCCATTTACTGCAAGTAGAGGGTGGTTACACAGTTCAGGAATAGGTTTTGACTAAAAAAATACAAAAATTACTGGAGAGGCTGTGTCTGCTGATGAATCAGCTGCTGCCACATTTCTGGCAGAAATGAAAGACTTGATTAGGACCTGGTTTTATCAGAGTCCCAGGCATCCATTGGGGTCTTGCAATGCATACCTCGAGGAAGCAGGGACTACTGCATTTTGAGTATTTTGTCTTTGTAGAATGATCTATTTCCCTCAGCTCGCAGAGCATAGACAATTTATTTCACAAAAATCTCAACAGGAAACTATAATTATTTTGTATACTGAATTATTAAAGTGCTTGTTTTGCTGGTGAAGTCCTTCTGAGATACAAATTTATAGCATTTGTTTCAGGTAAGGCATGGCTGTTCTTACCTGAAAATTGAGAACACAAAAAGGAAGAAAAACCCTTTAGAAAAGTGTTTATATTTTTAGAAAATAGTAACTCTTCTGGCTGAATAGTGTAATTAATGTCTACTGTTTCCTCTTTGCTTTTATCCACACAAACGCATGCCTTTTGACAATTACAAAAGGCGACTCCATCTCAGAATGGTCTCGTTTACCTTGAGATGAATTAAACATTACCTCACCATGCCTACCTATCCCGCTTTTCTTCATTCCTATAACTTTCTTTGAAGCTTTTCTTAAAGACACGTTATCATGTAATGTATATTAGGGATAACTTAAGTTAAACTTATCTTTGAAATTCGTGCATGAAGAATATTTTCTTGCGCTCACTTTAGCGGCACATGCACTAAAATTGGAGCGATACAGAGAAGATCAGCGTGGCCCCTGCGCAAGGATGACGCGCCAATTCGTGACGCCTTCCCTATTTAAATAGATAAAACATTTTCTGAAACTAGCAATCGTCTGTGACATCATTTGATTTTGAAGATGATCATGAACTCTACAAAACTACATAAAATTTATTTGAGGAGTTAATCCAGGAAGTTTGTAAATGAATACAGAAAATAAAACAAGGATACAAGAAATAGCACAGCTAAGTCTTATCCGGAAGAAGTTAAAAAAATAAAAACTAGAGAAAAATTAAAAATATTGTAAATCCAAGATGACTGGAAGATTCCCCTTGGAGTAGGAAAATACAGGATACAAGATTGCTTTTATTTCTTTATGCGTCTGACCAGATTCCTTGATTCAACAGAAAATATAATTTATATAGCAATATTGTATTTACTATTTACTGGCTTTGGGAATTAATCTCCACAGGATAAGAAACATAATTTAGTTTCTGTCATAAAACTTAACTATCAATATAATAACACTAACACAACTCAAAAAACTAGGAGGTAGATGGGTGAAAGAGAAATTGGTAGGTTGGGTAGGTACACTAGATGCCTCATGCCTCTCAGATGGGAATTGATAGACACTGTCTAATGCTGTTGGTTAATCTAAAAATGACAAACAAAGGCAGATTAACCCTGAAATAATAAAGTTCAGCCTTCTAGAATCCTCACTGACAAGGGGCTTCTACAAGGAGAAAACTGGGAAGAATCCTAGCAATTTTATAGTGTAATTTTGCATTCTTTCTCTTAAAGACTTTTTTCTCCCCCAAATATGTAAGTTTTAAGCCTCACCTGACCTGGATCCATTCCTGGGCCACTCCTAGGGCCTTGGGAAAGATGTGACCTGGAGGACCCAGAAGCTCAACTTTTTTTAGCTGCAAGGTTAATCCAACCTTGATGGTAACCAGCAAAACAACTAAAAGAGGAAATGCTTGACACTCTTTGCTTCTGGGGGCTGGTCCTGGTAGAGCTGGGAGGCGTAGGGAGAAAGGAAGAGGGACATTTGTACTTTTCATTTCAGAGCCACTGGTGCCATTCTATGTAGTACCCTATGTATGTATTTTTTTAAAAGAACAACAATTAATTTATAATTTATTGATATTAGTCAACATGAACTTTCTTCTTCCATGTGTATTAAAGCTGTGTATTAAAGGTAAAGGGTAGGGCTGCAATGTGTGTATACATTGTATATATTTTTTCCCCAGCTTGGTAACAATCTTTATTTTCTCCTCATACACACTTTTTCTGGATTGGGTGCTGCCTTTCAAGTCAATAGGAATTTCACATATGGAAGCAGCAGTGCATAAGGTAAAAGAAAATATAAAACTTCTGGCATTAGGCTCTTGTCTTTAGGAAAAAAATGACTGCAAAAATCATTAATGATGGCCTCGTCCTATCAATACATACTGTTATTGATAGAACTCTTATAAATATGAGTATCTGCAATGAATGAATGCATAAATAAGTGGAATGACAAGTCGATGTTTCTCTCTCTAAAATCAATAAATTTAAAAAAAATTTAAAAATAGGAGTATTTTCTTCCTATAAAGAGTTTTCTCATGAATGAAATATTATTCTTTCCCAAGATACCTTAAAAAAATTCATTATTTTCATCAGAGAATTTCTGTAGCATCAGAGCAACAGGATTTTGTTTTTGTAAATAGCTAGCAATGTTATTTAGGGCAGATATATTTAGAGCTTGCAAGAGAGTAAGAAATATTGGTTTATGCAGGTATTCCAAAGTCTCACATGTTACCTTGCTAAAATGAAGGGCTGCTTTTCTCGGATAACTAGACCGTTCTTTACTTGCCATGAAGGAGGGCAGCAGCCAGCAGACACTAGCTCCATGGTAACGTGCAGATCAGCATATATGTCATCTCTCTGAACTTCTGCTCAGGCATTTATTCTCGGTAACAGGTTAGACATTCAGGGCAAAAGGTATGTTTAAACATGTTCAAACTAGAAAACATTGTTGGGTCATTCAGCTACTTAAACAAGAAAGGACGGCTTTAGCAAAAGAAGGGAAGGATGAAGGAAGATTATGTACAGATTTTCTCTCAGCCTAGAACTGAGAGTAGACTGGACGGTCCCAGCAGGTAACTGGGGACACAAAACTGGTTCCCTTTTGCTTGTCTCCTGCACAGCTTTGCAAAGAATGGCAGAGTAGAAAAAGAAGACCTAATTTACTTATTCACTGTAAATACCTGGTTTTTATTACTTTTTGGAGTTAAGGATGAATATTCCTCATTTCTCTGTGCGTGCATGTTTTAAGTAATTTACTTCCAAGTTTTCCTAAGAAAGCCTTCATGGACATTTATAATACCAAATGGACTATGAAAAGTATTGTGAAAGGCTAGGTCATTTTAAATGAAAAAAATATATATTTAAAAATAGAAGCATTACATTGTTAAACAGTACATAATTAATGATAACTTATAGAGAACTTACTGATAAAATGAAGGTAGGAGACTAAAGGATCTCCAACACCCACTCAATTCTACATTTCTTTGAATAACAAGAAAAGATTACATGAGGAAATTCAGAGAGAAAATACAGCATCAGATTTCTTTAGTATTCTAAACTACTCTTGAAAAATGCTTGCTATAATGGCATGGTAGGATACAGTTGGCATGAGAGCTAATTGCCAACTTAACAATGAAAACAATGTGAAAACAATGGTTTGTTTGCAAGACTGAGTGAAAAATATATGCCTTAGGGAAGTAGTGGAACAGGAGAAAATGTGAGAATATACAGGCAAAAATATGTATGGATGCAAAGTTTTTTAGAGGAATTATTTTAGAAGCAGGCATTTGAAAGCCTCAGAGGTGGTGACAGAATTAATAATAAAAATAAAAAATAAATCAGTTATTTTGAACTAGACAAAAATGAGTAATTATAATTATTACACAATGACAAAGTATTGGCAATAGCAGAGTGCCATGCAAGGATATTAAAGACTAAATAAAATTTTGGCATCATATTCTAGAATTCAAAAGGTAAGAGAAGAGAGTAAAACATCAAGAGGGATCGACAAAAAATTTATTAAAAGCTTATTAGTGGAGGATGCTTATTCTACAAGACTTCATGGATCTCCTCCTTGCTATTTCTCCAAATTCAACTTATTCCCTCTCACATTTCTGGGGCCACGCGTTGTGTTCTGGTCACATGATCTTCCTTTAGTTATTTGAACATGAAAACCTCTATCCAGCTGCAGGTCCCCTGATGATACCGTTTCTTTTGCTATGAATCATCTTCCTTCTACTCTGCTTGACTAGCTCTTCCTTGTATTTTAGTCTTAGTTAAAATATTATTTTGGACCTGTGTGACCCCTATTTTAAAAAACCCTAAGCCTCCCAGCGCTACCCCATGGCTACTGACTGCCATTATTTTGTATCTCAGCTATTCCTCTGTTTGTTTTCTGTAGAACACGTATCAAAACTTGCAATTACTTTATCTTTTAAGTTTAGAAATAAATTCCACAACTGGAAATTAGGCTCTATGAGGGAAGAGACTGTGTGCTTTTCACTGCCAGGAGCCCAAGTATGGTCCTTAGCATACGGTAGGCACAAAATAAAAAATAGTTAAATTAATGTGTCAATTGATTCATGAATAAATAAACAGAACATGTAAATAATATGAGGTAAAATATGTAATACATAAGCAAACATCTGTTCAAAGGTTGCCCTTTGCAAACATAGTATGTTTTCCCAAACTTTCTGCGAATTTCTGGCTTAGCTCAGATCATAAGCCCACAGTTTAGCTGCCATTGATCATGGAGAACAATTATCTGGATTTTTTGGTTACTGCAAGTAGAGGCCCCTAACAAAACTGAGCAGAGTAGCAGATTTTCTAAACGTCAGGGGGGTAGTCAGTTACTGAGCATCTAAGAGCCCCCTAAGAAGTGTTCATAAGAGCCAAGGGTCTTCGTACAGCAATTAATTGTGTGTAAGGGCTGGGAAACAGCTGTACTTAAGAAAAACAAGTGAGTTCATTCAACAGCTATTACCAAGATCCCATTAAGTAGTTATTGAAAATGTGTTTTGTGCCAAACTTGCTACCAAGTCCATAGAAGACAAAGAAAAGTAAGAAGAAATTTCTGCTCTCCTGAAACTCAGAGTCTAAGAAAAAAAAAAACACACGTGTGTGTGTATGTATGTGTGTGCATATATATATGCACACAGTTTTCTGCAATTCTGAGAATTATGTTTTTGAAAAGTCTGTAACAAGGTAATTTATAAGCTAAAAAATGTAAGAATTTAAGAAACAATAGGAATGTGGGATGAATTTCAGAACAAAAAGAGGAAGGTCTTATTAAGTGTGAGAAGATTTTTATACCCTTAAGAATAGATTTTCAGTGCAAAATATATCATCCAATGATTTCTTTTGATATTAAAATTTGAAATTCATGCCTTGGCTATTCAATTAGTCAATATTGTTCTTTAAAGTTTTAAGTTGAACATACAAACCTATTCTGCTTTAAAGTCAAATAAATTTAGCAGTTTCTGAATAATGTTTGCTAGGTCCCATTTAATATTTTAAACTATAAATATAAAATATTCAATTCCTTCCTTATATTCTTTGATTGTATGGCAAACAAAATCCTCTCAGGTCTAAAATGTATTTTTTTTAAAGTAATATTAAATTAAACTTTTAAATAATTTTATTCTTGAGTTCTCTTAAATGTTTTAATATATGCACTTAATGAGGGTTTACTTTAAAATCAGAAGCATAAATAATCACTAAACCAATTTTAAATATAATTAAGTGCTTGACATATGTTGCTCTAAAAAATCTATATTTTTTCAATACAAGGACATTCCAAGTATGTTCAAATTCCCTTACGCTGAAATATTAACAGCATGGATGGGGCTGGGGACTATTATGCTAAGTGAAATAAGCTAGGCTTTGAAAGACAAGTTATATGATCTAACTTGTAAGAGGAGTCTAATGAACAAAATAAACTAATGAACAAAACAGAACCAGAGCCATGGAAACACGGAACACACTGACAGTGGCCAGAGGGGAGGGGGCGGG